CCGAAACCCGTTTGCATTTACTCCCATCAGCTCCAGTATGGCTTACCACGATGCCAGCATTATATCAAGTAGCCCCGTGAAGCCAATGCAGCGGCCTATGGCTACCCATCCCGACAAAACCAAGCTTGAGTGGATGAATAACGGCTATGGTGGTGTTAGCAATTCCTCGGTTGCAAACCATGGCATCCTTACGAGCTACCAGGAGCTGGTGGAAGACCGCTTCAGGAAACCCCACGCTTTTGCAGTTCCTGGCCAGTCATACCAGTCTCAGCCGCGTCACCATGATACTCACTTCGGTCGCGTGACTCCCGTTTCGCCTGTGCAGCACCAGGCAGCCCCTGTCAGTAGCACCACCAAGCAAGAGGGCTTTGCTGTTCCCGCTCCTTTGGACAACAAAGGAACCGGTTCCTCTCTCAACAACAGTCTGAGATGCCGGAGCGTGAGCCCTGCTGTCCATCGCCAGCGTAATCTCAGTGGAAGCACTGTTTACCCTGTTTCAAATATACCACGCTCTAACCTGACACCTTTTGGAAGTCCAGTGACCCCTGAAGTTCACAATGTATTTGCTAATATCCATGCAGACACCAGTGCCAATAACATAGCGCAAAGAAGCCAGTCAGTCCCGTTGACTGTGATGATGCAGACGGCCTTCCCATCTCTTCAGAAACAAACAAACACTAAAAAAATAACCAATGTGTTGTTAAACAAACTTGATTCCGATAGCGATGATGCAGTGAGAGGTTTGGGAGTGAACAACATGCCCTCAAATTACACAGCCAGGATGAATCTCACTCAGATTTTAGAGACATCTGCCGCTTTTCCTAGTGCCAACCCACAAAATATGATCAATTCCAGCACTTCAGTTTATGAATTCCAAACACCAAATTACCTCACAAAAAACAGCAGCACCGATCAGATCAGTTTTTCTTCTGGAGATAACCAAGCACAATCAGACATCGGAGAGCAGCAATTAGATTTTAGCAGCACTGTAAAAGACCTTTTAGGGGAGGACAGTCTGCCAACAAACCAGCAGCTGGTGAATCAGGTGGCATCAGATCTCAATAACGTTGCATCTGTCTTTTCCAGCGACATCAGGTTGTCTTCCGAGCTCTCAGGCAGCATTAACGATCTGAACACTTTAGACACAAATCTACTGTTTGATCCAGGTCGTCAGCAGGGACAAGACGATGATGCTACACTGGAGGAGTTAAAAAATGACCCCTTGTTTCAACAAATCTGCAATGAATCCATTAACTCAATAACTGCATCAGGTTTTGAGTGGATGGAGAGTAAGGATCATTCTGCTGTTGAAATGTTGGGTTAATCTTGTTTTATAATATGTATGTAGCACACTGTATCTAAAAGACAGACGTATTGTATTTGTCTTAATGGAAGTGCCTCCCGCAGCAGAAACACCTGCTATGTATTGTGGCATTTTTAACAAAGTTTGCTGTACCCGTTGCTCATTCTTCAGCAGGGAAAAGGCAGTCTTACCAATTTTAAACCAATCTCTGAAGGTGATGGGCTATCGAAGAGCCAGTATTAAAATTTGAATTTTATAGTGTTTCCCATTTAGCATTTCTTATTGTAGCAAATAAAGAAGTGGTTAATAGCCAGCCAGCAGTGACAACTATGGTTGAGGCTTTGGGAAGGTTTTAAGTCGAGCTCGTTAGTGGGCTTTCCATACTTTGTATTGCTTGTTACTTCTTAGTAGATGATCCTTACTGACCTTTGTTGTTCAGGTCTGAAATGCAGGGTGCCTGCAGGTAGGTAGGTGGTGGGGAGTGGGTCCAAGCGAAGCAGGTGACACGCAGGTGCCTGATCATTGTGTAGCTGTCTTGAGCACTGCTCAGTGGTGAACTGTGGGAAACTCTGCAGCGCTGGTGCCATTGACATCTCTAGTAAAACGCAGAGATAGGAAAAACTAACAGGAATGATCAAGGAAAAAGAAAGATGCACTAAATTGTTTATTTAAGAGAAATAAAGCTATGTAGTTATTTTATCCATTAATATTCGTGACATACTTGATATTTTAGTTCTCACTTCAGTGTTTTTACAGTAGGTAAAATTCATGCAAAAAGATTTTGAGCACTGAGATTTAATCTAGGCATAACACCCTATTTTAAAGTGAGAGGTACTGTTTAATTATTTATCAACGCTAGAGAAGGAACGCGATATTTCCCCTCTTTTTTTTTTAAATAAAAGAGCTGCTGGAGCTTATTAAAGTACTATTTTTTAAAGATTCATTTTTTTAAGTTTGCTCTTTCCTAACCTAGTGGAGGGTGTAGGAAGATGTTATTTTCTCTATATTTCAGTAGGTTGAGCCTTTCTGTCTTTCTCACTCGGTCTCTTTCTCTCAAGCAAAAGATGATTAAAATATTAGAAAATGTGGCTGATCTAAAAATATTTCATATAGAGCCATAATACTGCCAGGCACTTTACAGATACACAGTAAGACGTGATCTTTCTTTTGGTAAAACTTCTTTTAAAAGTACTTACTGTTTTAGAAGCCTGAATTCCATTTTCATAAGTGATTGACAGGACTGGTGAATCTAATTTTTTTTTAGAAGTCCTTAGCTGCCCCTCTGGAAAATGAGATTTAGATTTCTGCCTCACTCGTTCACTTGAACCAAAAAAGACCTTTTGTTTTATCAGCATGGCATGGATCTCTCTAATGGTGAAAAGAGAGAGGTACTTAACCGGGCATGGCCCTGATGCTAGAAAGAGGATTTGCAGAGGCAAGCTTTTACAGAAGTGGTGCGCTGAGGATGCTACAATACCATCCCTTAAGCTTAGCATAAAATTGATTATTTCTCCCGTGAACTGACACTTACAAAACAGAAAACGGAGCACAAAACATTTTCCTCTCTTGCATTACTTCTTTGAATGAGCGGTCGTGAATTTATGAAGGGGGAGGCACAATAAGCCCCCCTGGATTTACTTAAGGGGAGGATGCTCAGATTTTTCGAGCTATTAGTGGTTTTTTGTTTAAGTGTCTTGGTGGTCTTCTGTTTCTTCAGATTTTGCTAATGACTTGAGATCCCAGTACTGGCCAATTTTTTTGGCAGTGCTGAATCACCTTGTGCTGCTGCATTGCCACTTGAGGTGCTGGTGTACCACGGCTTCTCTTGCTCTTGCCCCAGTTCATCACCAGTCTGTGGCCTCTTCTGCAGGGACAAACACTCGTGCCAAGCTATAGCACCTTATGGGGGCCTGACTTCACTGTGCTTGCATCGGAAGTTTTGCTGCTTTGTCAGGAACAAACTGGGAGAGTTCAGTTCCCTCCTTGAAGCACGTGGATGTGCGATGGTGTGGTTTGCTTCGTTTAAGACCAAGTGACCCTTTTAAGTTTTCTTAAGGAAATGGGGAGGAGACTAAAAACTGCATGGTAGCCTTCTGCTTGTTGTCTTGCCAGGTGTCTGTCAGTAAGGCTTGAACCATTTTTCTTGTAGACTGAAGTTGCTGAAGGCAGGGCTTGAGTTCTGTACCTGCCTGTGGCCTTTTGCCAGAGATCTGCTGAACATCCTCTTACCTTGTTGACTTCACTGGGTCTGAGAGACACTCGGCACCTCTTTTTTTTCTCCCGACCCTGCGTGAAGCGCCAGCACTACTGTGAATAGGTGAAACCTACCTTCCGATGGAGAGTGATGGGGGAGGACGCGAGCGCCGGCGCTGCGAGGAGAAAGCCGCACACATGCTGCAGCAGCCCGTGCGTTTGCATGACGTGCTGGCCTCACCTCCAGGTCGCTAACACCAAGACTGACGTGGGCTTGGGGGAAATAAGTTTTTGCCTAACTCCACTAGTTTTTTAAGAACATTTCTCAGAAAAGCAAGAACAGATTTAAAGCTGATGCGTTCTAAATTATGCAGCCGTCACCAAAGGTTTTTAAAAGTGCGTTTAAAATTATTTTTAAATACAAGCATTACATTGGGCCTAACATGTGACTTAATTAGCAGAAATGCTCTATAATCAGTGGATTTAAAGCAAAAATATGTTTAAGAAGTGTTAAATTTGATAAAGATTGTTTCAAGTAAAATCCAAGGCACAGGCACAGCTTTGTACATTGGTATGTATTATTTTAGAGGTGTTTGTGTGTTGGTGTCATAATTAATAATGTTAGGTCCCTGTACTTAGTGCTAGTTAGTTCTTTACTATACATTGAGACAGAGCACTACTGCACACCAAAGTATGCAATACCCAAAGGAAAATTCTGTGATTCTAACAAATGGAAGCCTGTCTGTGTCAGATACTCCAAAACTAAGAATTTGAGACAGTTCTGACCCCTTGTTTACATTATTGGCTTCCTACTAATATGAGAAATGAATTATTTTGATAGCAGTTTTTGCTAAAGTATACAAACTAGTGAATTTGTACCCTGTGTACAGTATTGCAGCAAACACTTTAAATTTGGTTGGTTAGTCCAGCAAACTTTCTGGGTTCATATATTGCACTAAAATTCTGTTGAACCTGTGGCAGGCACATTCCTTAGGATAAATGCAACAAATACGGCCCACAGATGAAAAAAAAAAAAAAGGCAAAACAACACAAAAAAGAAACTTTTTAATGTGTTTCATTATTAAAAGGCAAAATGTCATTAAAAGTGACAGGTGAAATTGTCTTATGTAGCAATGTGCATTGATCTCAATGAGATATTTCTATTTCTTATTCTCTTACATGAGAATATTACAGCAGGAAAAATTAAGTTTAGTTTGCTTCACCATGTTAATACATGATCACAAAACGTGCATGAGTGTTAATGACTTAATCTTGTACAGTACTAGATATATTCCTGTAACCACTTTTATTTTTTTTATTCTTTTGCTGTATTGAAACTGGTTCCGTGTTAACCAGGTGAGCATAGTTATTCACAAGTTATTTACTTTTTTATGTTAACTAATTCAGCTTAGTTATTGTTGAATATATTCTTTTCTTGGATTATTTTTTATTGTTCTGGTGTTGAAAAACATTTTTGCATCGTTTTATCATGATAAGAATTCATGAAGTAAATAATTTGCAAATAATTGCAATAAGCACTGACTTCTGAACTGAAAAGAAGGAAAGCGTTTCTTGTGCAGTGCATCTGAGTTTCATATAATAGTCTTGTACTATACTGTGCTTTACTTACTGCACCATAAGGAAAGAAAAATCCCTGTTCCACGTTTTCATTTAGTGCAGGAAATCCAGTTTCTCCCCTCTTCCCCAGTGTTTTGTTGTCTGTTGTACTGCTGAAACTACAGTAGTTGAATATTGCAGTAGCATTTCAGTTATTTTTTTTATTGAAAGTGCTCAAGAATTGTTTTTTAAATGTTTTCAAAAACAATAAAAACATTTTATATTAAAATGACTTCGGGAGTTTTTTCTTTATATGGAAAGTCTGCGTTAAGGTTGGCCTAAAATACAGAGCTTTCTAGTTTGCGTGAAGACTGATCACAGCTGCCCGGCCGTACCGACTTGCTGCCATTGCTGAGCCCAGTCATGCACTTAAAGCTGAGCATGAAGGTGAATCTTCCTAGCTGGGATGCCCTGATCAGTCTGTGCTCTCAGAGTAATCTCTTGAGAGAAGCTGGTGGTAATGGGGTTCTGACCATTCGCTTTATATTCCATTTCTGTAGGCATCCCTTTTAAGTGGAAAGTACCTGTGTGGTGATACTGTTACATTTGGGGGATAAAAACATCTGCAGCTTACAGTTGAACCTGACAGTTCAAATTTACCATCAAACATTAAAATAATACTTTGGCCGCAGCTTGTACTTCAGAACATGGTGGTGATATTTGTGCTGGTTGGAGTTGTCTTCATGTGCAGCTCCTCTGTGCTGCATTCATTGCGGTGTGGGTGCTGGTCAAAGTGTTGGGTTTGTGTCTGGGTGGTGGCTCTTGGTGTGGTGGCATACACCAGCCCATTGCTGCTACAGCCATCCACGGTGGCAGTGCTTGGCTGGTTTTGCTTTTTGACACCAGTAAAGCACTCTCAGAAGACAGTGTTATGGTGCAGGTTGGCTTGCTGCCATAAAGAGGGAAAATACACTGTTTTCATCTATGGAGTCCTTTATTTGGGTTGTAAAATTGTATGTCAACCCAGCAGTGTTCCCAGCACAGTCTGTGTGAACACGATGGAAAAGTATGGCTACAGAGCAGAAACTGGCTATGAGAAAATGAGGGTGAGGACAAACATTCAGATTTTCATGCCAAAAAGGTAGCACTGGTTAACGATTAGACTCCATCCCAGGCTACAGAGGTGCTGAGACGAGCTGGCAGGTGGCAGATTTCATGGTGGCACAAAATCACCTTAGGTTTGTCAACAAAGAAAAAGAATCATCAGGGAGACATAAATGAGGCAGTGTGAATGAAAGAGCATCAGAAAGATTAATTTTAACATGACATTGGAGGGTGTGCTATTAATATATCTCACTGGATTCTAACTTAACCTGCTCTAAACAGAGTTCTCGATAAACAATTCACAGACACGCTTTCTCCATGTTCCACAGTCATAAAAAATGCAAATTAAAAATTCTCAAGGAATGAGATGGACTATAATGTAGGAGATACAAAAGGCTATTTTAGAAATTGATAGTTCATCTGAAGTAATAATGGGTTTTAATCGGAACCTCTCAGCTGTAGACTGGAAAGAATCAGCCTTAATGGTTAATAAAAAGGGTCATAAGAGCAAACAAATCTGTGACTGTGAATGGAAATGGAATGGAAATGGCCTAACAGGAAAGACTTAAGAAGGCAGAAACGTCAAACTAAATGCATGATCAAAATAACT